CCTCCTCCCCAGCCGCGCCTCCCTCCCCGCCCCTCCGCTCACCGGCCCGGGCGGCGGGATCCGCCGGGATCCGCCGGGACGCGGCCTCCCCGCGCGCGTTCAGCCTCTGGCCTCACTACGGTTACTGTTACTGTTATTGTTTGTACCGGGGATCGAACCAGGACGTTGCACTTGGTAGGCAAGCACTCCGCCACTGAGCCAATCCCCACTGTGCGTGTGCGCGTGTGTCCGTCCATCCTTCCAGGGAAGTGTGGCACAGGAGGCCTCCTTCCGCTGCCCTGGCCTCCAGGCCTGCTGCGCACTCGGACGAGGTTCTGCAGGAGGAAAGGGAGGAAGAAGACCAGGAAGCACAAAGGAGGAGGCGGGGAGACCAGCCACAGTGGAACGAGGGGCACGGAAGCAAAGCATGGAGGAGTCCTCGCCCAGCAGGGGCAGGACAGGTGAGGATTTCAGGAGGAGGGAAGAAAGATGCCCTGGCAGCAGACCACCGCTCCCGGCCGCGGGCCCAGCTCGTACGGGCATGACTTAGCCCATGAGCACCCAGGGCGAGAGGCAGCCTTGGTGTAGAACAGACCGCAGCAAGTGGTAGGAAGGCAGCACCCGGAGAGGGGGTCGCTGGGGACCTGGGAACAGGAGCAGCAAGCCAAGGAGGCTGGTGACCGGTGCCATGGATTCTGGGACACAGGAGATGGCTGAGGAGGGGCGGCGTCGGGCAGCATGGGCACCAAAGTTCAAGCAACTGCGTGAAACCTGGCGGTGGCAGAGGCATGGACACCCTGTGGCCCGGTAGTGGCACACACAGGCCCGTGGGTGTCCTGGCTGCCCTGGGCACGTGGGGAGAGCAGCCATGCCCCAAGGGCCACTGAGGGAGCCGGGAGCTGAAGGTTGAGGCGAGGTGGCCGGAGAGTCCCCTCACTGAGGTGGGTTCTCGCTGGAGCCCAGGCCGCAGCCGACCAGAAACAGACGTGCAAAGTGCCGCCCCCTCCAAGGCCTCCCACTGGTCTGGGTCTGGCAGAGCCTCTGGCAGACTCTCCCAAGCACAGTGTACCCAGGGTCTCTTGCACCCCGCATAGGAACAACTGGAAACTCATATTTTGTGTTGTGCAAGTTTGTTTGCTTCTCTTGCAGGTCTGGTTTGGTTGGTTGGACTCTATGGACTCTGTGTGAATAAAATGACCCCTCCGTGTGCCTCTGGCTCCTCCCCTCACTCTCCTCTCCAGCTCCTCCTCCTCCCTGAGCCACAACAGCATTCAGCCCAGTGTCCGCCCTTCCTGTCACCTTCTCCACTTACGCTTTCCTTCCATCTACTAGTAGAACTGATCACATGCTCATATTTTCTTCTATATCAATTTCGCTTTTAGCTGGTAACTAGAATGCGTTATTCTTTGTATGTGTGTGTGTATGTGTGCGTACACTTGGTCAGTTTCTTCATTTCTTCATCCCCTCCTTTCCTCCCTCAACACATTAGCTAGATCTTTTCTGCAGAGCCTCTGCTGTTAAAG